CTGTCACTCTTTGGTAGTAGCTATTATCAATTGCTACTTTATGTCATGGAATTCAGACCCTAATGTTACATTCCTGTTAACAGGGTAGATAGCAGCAGAAGAAAATAAGAGCATCATGACAAGACTCCAGGTTACCTGTTGTTCTCTCAGAGCAGAGGCTGAAATCAGTGTTTAATGTACAACTGTTCAGTGTGCATTTTTCTTTGATGAGCCTGGAGTCAGGATCACCTTTAAAGGAGTGGCAGATGGTTCCCTCTGACCCTTGGGTGGTTAAGGCAGGGTGATACATGCCTGCTGAGATGTGGGCTGCACTCAGTCTTGCTCCCAAATGAAAGCAAGCCAGGAAATGATACTCTCTGGTCCATAGTGCAGGTTAGCTGGTGTCTTCTCAGTGCTTTTGGCAGAGCCTGAGGTACAGCACATGTTGGGACGGAGCAGCCGTTCAGCAACAAGCAGAACAACACATTCTAAGCTAGCTGGTGGTGCCTCTATGATTTGCTGTCTCTGCATTTGTAGGAATTAGACTTTTGGCAGGGTGGAGGGAAATGCAAATGGCTCAGCTGTGCAGAGTTGACATTTGCTCTGCATTTCCCCCAGGTTGAGTAGCTCCACTGAGCAGAGCACCTCATCCCGCCTCATACGGAAGCACAAGCGCAGGAGGAGGAAACAAAGGATGCGGCAGATTGACAGGGTAAGGTTGGCAACAGACTCCTCCAGGGAGCTGAACTGTGGTTTGTGAGCACAGCATGTGTGTTAGGAAGGGATGCAGAGCAGGTCTCTGCCCTGTTGAGTTCATTGGAAGAGCTCCCTTTAGCTCCAGCCTGCCCTGGACTAAGTCTCTGACATTTGAAATTCTGTGGCCCTAGAGTCAAGACTCTTTTTATTCTTCTTTCCCTTTCTATTTTACTGTTCAGTGTTTGCATTTTGTTGTCTCTCTCAAGAGCAGCCTTCACTGGACAGTCTCTATGCTGCTGCTGGTTGATGTGGGCAAGGGGGAAGTCTGTGGTGTTAGACACCTGGTGGATGAATTGCTGAGACTTGCTGAAAGGAGGAATCTGTGTTTATAGGAAATCACAGATCTTTTCTCTTGCCCTTTTCTGTGCTAGTCCTATGGGAGCAGGGTGAGGATGGTCCAAATCACATACTTCTTGGAGTAGCTGTTTCATTTTCCTATAAATATCAGTTTTCACAGATTGAAGGATGAAGATGCATACGTTTTATCAGAGGAACTGGAGTAAAGTTGGAGAACATGTTTGATAAACACATTTGTATTTAATTTTGGAGGGTGGGGAGTGTCTCTCTTCTCACTTCCTGAAAGATCATGTTTTGTTCATTCCTCTCTTTGGGGAGGAGCCGTGGATGTAATAATTCATCCTGCACTGGGCACGTCAGTATTTAAATGTCTGCCCATCAGTCATGTAGTTGGGAAGCAGAAATGATTCATTGTGAATTTCAGCTGAGAAACATCAATAGAGGAACTGGCCTTGTGTGTTTTGTAAACAGGTCTTTGGGGAAGTGCAGATTGCCTTCCAATTTTCTTTGTTTTTACTTACAGATTCTAAATGAAAATAATTGTGAGGAGGCCACAGTGATTTCTGGATTAGTCAGTTCCCTATGTCAGTCAAATTTGTTAATCAGTTCCCAATGAGTTAATCCTGAATAGTTATTTTTATCTTACTCTGAGCCATTTAAAACCTTGAGAATTTTCTGTTGTATTTTGCAGTCGTCTTCATTCAGCAGCATCACTGATTCTACCATGTCCCTAAATATCATCACTGTCACACTCAACATGGGTAAGAGGATAAGCAATGCTTTTTGTGGTGAATTTCAAGTGATACAGATGTATTTTGTTGTGGTGTAGTAGCCTTTGGAGCCAGTAGAAAGTTCCCTGGTTTGAAAGGATGCCAGTGGAACTAAAGGGAACGGCAGCTGAGCGTTGTGACTGTTGGCTGTGCCTGGATTCCTGGTCCAGTACCAGACAGTTCTGAGCCAACTGCTCAAACAGATCAGTATTCTCCCTGAGAAGCCCAGGGAAGGAGCTGGAACTCCAGGAGATGAAGTTCTGCTCTTCTTTCTAGGAATGGTGAGGGGTCAGACATGGTTAGGAGCGAGAGTAGAAGGGTGCTGGAGCTCTGCATTTCTGCTGCTCCTGCATTTCATTGTTTAGCCTGACAGAAATGCTCAGCCCAGCCAATTCAGCACCTTTCAATAGCACCACATTCTTCCTGCCACTCTGACATGTGGGGAAACATTGGCTAATGCTGATCAGGTGCTTAATTTCTAGGTGTGGACGTGTCTTTTCAACATCATTTCTCTTGCTGATTTTTTGAATGTAACTTTTTGGTGTCCTGTATGAGAAAATAATGCCTTCAGCAGTGTTTCCCTGAGCGTGCCAGGCAGACAAACATCAGCAGGGTAACCTGAGATCATTGCAAGTCAGACACGGCCCAGCTGATGTGTTGAGAGAATGGATTTTTCCAGACTGAAGTAGCCTGCTGTTAGCTCTTTGCTGTCATTCCAATCACTTTGTTTGCTTTTTTTTTCCCCCCCCTGCCCTCCACTTTCTATCTGTGTAGAAAAGTATAACTTCCTGGGCATCAGCATTGTAGGACAGAGCAATGACCGGGGAGATGGTGGCATCTACATTGGCTCCATCATGAAGGGAGGGGCTGTGGCAGCCGACGGCCGGATCGAACCAGGAGACATGCTTCTGCAGGTTGGTCTGTGTCCAAAAATCCCTGCTGCTGGCTTGGGCTTCGGTGGCTCAGCTCACTCAGCCCACCAGATCCATGGGCTGAGTTAGCAGAATTCATTCATACTCAGTGTCACAGAGACTGTTATCACTTAAATCTGTAATTCTTTGCAAACTCTGCTGGGTGGTTGTTGTCCTCTGGGAAACAGTATTTCTTCAGCTAGTTGGAGGAGTGGAAACAGTTCCAAGGCAAATAAATTTGGAAGGAAATAATTAAAATGTTTTTAACTTTGCTGTTGCAAAGCCTGACCTGGTTTTTGGAATGTTTCAGGTGAATGATGTCAATTTTGAGAACATGAGCAATGATGATGCAGTACGGGTGTTACGGGAAATAGTCTCCAAACCAGGGTGAGCATGTTACAAAACCTCTTGCCACTTATCCTCCATATCCAGTTATTGGTATTGGGCAAACCTCAGAGAAATCATCATTTTGATCTCAGTGAGCAGCCAGTGTGAGTGCTGATCTCAACTCTCAGTGTAAATGATGGATAGGTGAGACTGGTTCCAATGTACCAGCCAAAAGCAACACAAAGTAGGAGTTGCCTGATTTCAGTAGCACTGTTTGGGTATATGATGAGTGTCTCATTATCTCAAGAGCTGATGGTTTGACAGATTTCACCAGTAATACTTAATGATCTATGCAGAACTGGAAACAACCTGGTACTGGTTTATACTGAAAATAATTCAACAAACATCTCAAAAGCATTCTTAGAATGTATTTGACAGTTGTTGGATAAGTTTGTTTCAAAGAGTTCATTGTAGCAGTTAGAACTTTTGTAGGGGAAGTAAGGAGTCACCCTTGCTTGTTTTCTTCCTTCCTAGACCTATCAGCCTAACAGTAGCCAAATGCTGGGACCCTACTCCCAGGAGTTACTTCACCATCCCCAGGGGTGAGTACATATTTGTGCTCTTTGCTGGGTTCCTGTGGAGCCCTGAAGGTCTAGACTATTCTCAGCTGTTTTGTCATCTAGCAGATTTCCATCCCCTGCCAATTTGATACTTTTAAGTTTGGTTGTACTGTTTGTTTGCTTTTTGGTTGGAGGGCAGGGGTTTAAGATATTCTTTCTGACACTCCAATGCCCACTGAATTCATGGGAGTTTTTCTTCTGATTCACACAGTTGTGGCTTAGGCTCTTAACCTTTTGGTGGGTATGTCCTTGTGAATTTAATCTCACAATTGATAGAAAGGTTGGAGGGTAACTATACTTCAGTGTTAAAAAGCCTCATTTTGACATATGTACACTTCCTAGAAAGAATTCAAACTGAGTGTTTTTACAGTTTGATGCAAACAACATTTTTTGATATTCCTCTTGAAAATTAAAAAATTCTGACTTAATAAACCTCTTGGTAGCAATAAAAGTTCTATGCTCATGTGAGAAACAGCTGCCTCCTGCTGGTGAGTGCTCATCTGAGGTACTGAAACCAGCTTGTTACCAGCCCTCCCAAAAAGGTGAGATTGGTCCATTGAAATTAGTACCATAGACTCATGCAGACTGTGGGAACTCTCCTTACAAAAACCAGCACAAGCAAAAGGAAAATCCCACAGATCATTTATTTCAGATGTGCTGCAGGGAGAGCCTGTGTATCAGGCCATCCTTTCTTCTTGCATCATTACCCAAGGCAAGCAGTGGTGTATCTGTGGTAGGCTAAACTGCTTGCAGTAATGTGAGGAATATTTTGTGGAGGTACCTCACAGAGGCAGAGCTCTTTTACATGTCTGGTTTTAAGGCAGTGGAACAACAGCCACTATAATTCAGAAGTAATCCAGATTGTGGGGAAAGTTATTTGCTGTGTGACTCTTCTTAAGGTGTGAGTGTAACTTTCACTTTTCTCTGACACCAGGTTCTTCAAATGGTCTTTTTTTGTCTTGTCTGTTTATTTTGGAAGGCTCTTCCAGTCCTAAAAAGTTTCATTATGACTGCTGAAAACACTGAGGGGGGAATTCCATGATGCCTCATCTCTGCAAATACAGAACTTTAGAGTTACTGTTCCTATTCCCCTTCAGCAGAAGATTCACCTTCTGTATGAGTGGTTATTTTGGATCCAAGACCCTTAAAAGTAGGGAGAGTTTTTCCCTTCAGCTGGGACAAAGCATTTGGCCGTGCCTCACATCCTAGCAAACTGAGAATGTCCTTCTCACTGCACAGAGTCATACTGAGATGTTACTAGTGGGCTGGTAGCTTCTTTTGCACAAGGGGAGGGAGGTCTTGCAGTGCCACAGCAGTTACAGAAATGGCACTGTCATGGTTTTAGTTGGTCAAGAGAGGTTCTTCTCCACCTCTATTCTGCATTGATGAGGCTGCATCTGGAGTATTGTGTCCAGTTCTGGGCCCCTCAGTTCAGGAAGGACAGGGAGCTGCTGGAGAGAGTCCAGCGTAGGGCTACAAAGATGATTAGGGGAGTGGAGCATCTCCCTTATGAGGAAAGGCTGAGGGAGCTGGGTCTCTTTAGCCTGGAGAAAAGGAGACTGAGGGGTGACCTCATCAATGTTTACAAATATGTAAAGGGTGAGTGTCAGGAAGATGGAATTAAGCTTTTTTCAGTGATGACCTGTGATAGGACAAGGGGTAATGGGTGCGAATTGGAGCATAGGAGGTTCAAGGTGAATATCAGGAAAAATTTTTTCCCTGTGAGGGTGCCGGAGCACTGGAACAGGCTGCCCAGAGAGGTTGTGGAGTCTCCTGCACTGGAGTCATTCAAAACCTGCCTGGATGCCTTCCTGTGTGATGTACTCTGGGTGACCCTGCTCTGGCAGGGGGGTTGGACTGGATGATCTTTCGAGGTCCCTTCCAACCCCTATGATTCTATGATTCTATGGGTTTATCCTGTTAGGCTGCTGTGACAGCTGCCAGAGGAAAGCAGCTCTTGCTGGCAAGGTGCTTTCTGTGCCCTTGTGCTCTCTCAGCTGTTCTGTCAGAGCAGTGTGGACTCTACTCCCCCAGAAACTCTCCTGACTCCGCTCTCAGCGCTCGCTGCCAAGTCTGATTCCTTTTTTTCTCCCTTTCTGGTTGTTTTTTGCAGCTGAACCAGTGAGGCCAATTGACCCAGCAGCGTGGATCTCTCATACCACAGCCATGACGGGAGCGTACCCCCGTTACGGTATGAGCCCCTCCATGAGCATCACCACATCTACCAGCTCCTCACTAACAAGCTCAATTCCCGATTCGGAAAGTAAGTCACCCTGCGGCCAGCCCAGGGCAGGCAGCTTCTGCTCAGGGCCAGCAGTGCAGAGCTGTGCCCAAAACCAACCCCAGCCACAAGCACGATGAAAACGACAACCACCACACAGCTCTTGAATGCTTTCTTACGTTTGTGACTCTTACAGGGAGCAGAAAAGCTTTTCCCAAAGGGCAGAAGTTAAAACAGGGGGGTTTTGCCAGGGGTCACGTTTAGGAAGAGGTGGCTTCTGGTTTCTTTGAGAGTTACAAGGCAGGCCTCCAGCTCTATCCCCTCAGGTGAATGTGAGAGCAGCTTCCTCCTTGCATTTGACTGGGTTTTAATAAATTTAAATAATTTACTTCAGATAGATGTCACTGGTTAATAATGCCAGTGTATCATTTAGGAAATCTTGCACTGACACTTGCACAGCCTTCTTTTATACTTAGTGTTTATTGAACAAGTTAAAAACAAACATAATGTCCCACATGAAATGATGGTTAGAGTTCAGCCTTCTTGCCTGGTTTGTCTGTCTGTGGCAATCTCTAAACTAGTCATACCCATGTAACCAACAAGTTGTCACAATTCCTTATCTTGGAATTTTTTGTTGAAAGAAAAGGTTTATATTCTTTAATTCTTCCTTTGCTTTCTGATGTAAGCGTGGGGTAAAAGCTAGCACTTGGTTTGAAATATGTAGCAGTGAGGCAAGACAAAGAAAGGGGGAGGATGTGTCTCTGAGAACACTGTCCACTGAAGTCCTGATTCAGGGAAGTGTAAATATTTAACACAGCACTTCCATTTGATACGGAAGTGTGGAGGTACTTCACACCTCATTGTTTTGTTTCCTGTCATATTAATGTGGAAGAATTTCTCTAGAGATGCAGCCTTTCTGTCAGACTTGTTCATCTGTAGCAAGGAGATTTATTATATTTTTTTTACGTACACAGAGAAATCTTGAAGTGACTTTAAAGTCCTGAGGAGATGATCTCATTTGTGCAACAATGGTACCTCAGTATGCATCCAGTGAAAAGCAGAGAAATACTTGCATGTGTCACAAGGGATGCTTGAGTGCCTGCCAAATCTGGGGTCTAAATTTAAGACTGAGAAACTCTCTTCATTTTGTAAGATTTTTCCAGAGAGAAAGAGAGGATAGGATATCATTTAGAAAAACCATCATAATAAAATGAAAAAGAAAAACCAGACTTGGAGGATTTTGAAGACCAATGTGGTGTTGGTGCTTAGTGACAGAATCTTCCCAGGACAAATGCATGGCTGAAGTGTTAAAGTTGCATTTACAAGGACCAGTTAAGTCCTGTCAGGTTACAGGGGTGTCTGCCTCTTTTTCTTCTACCCCCTTTCAGCTTTTATAAGCACATAGTTCCTGGAATTGAACCTCACCTTGGGCAATTACCCTTTTTACCCTTTTTGTCAGTGTAGTACCTCAGTGCCTCTTTAGCTCGTAGGCAGCACCACTGAAGGGGAAATGCATCCACAGGAGAGAGCAAGTGAACCACTCACCTGATGACTGCTTTATCTTGAGATGTGTTTTCAGCCTTACAGGTACTAAACATTAATGAACTCGAATGTATCTGCTGATTGCTGTCAAACAACCAGAGTCTGTTACTCTGCATTCCTCTGTGTACTGTGTGCCTTGATATCTAGTGATGGGATTGGGAAGTGTGGAATGCAGATGCCCTCTCAATCATACTTTAAAAATAAAGGTTATTTGGGAGCAGAATCACATTTCTGGAGACAGCTTCTCATTTCTATACCAGTGACTCACAATGTTGCCTTTCATGAGTGTAAGAAAACGCAGAGTACCCCTGACCTTCACTGGGACCTCCTGCTTAACACCCCTTCCTTCAGTTCAGTCCTGGTGCCCCCCTGCCCCCAGCACGGTGGGCAGCACCTCAGGGCCCTAGGCACAAAGATCACCTGTCCTGTGAACCTCTTTGGCAGGAAAACCAGAGTTGGGGAGGAACAGTGGAGGAGGAAGGAGAGGGGTGAGGAGAGGCTGTGCCTTGGCATCTCACAGAACAAAGAGCTTCATGCAAAATGGGGCTTTCTAACTTTTCATGTTCCAGTGCAAGGTTCTCTGTTTCATTTCCTCCAAGGCTAGAGTCAATGGTGTCCAAAACAAGCAGAAAATCTGCCCTACTGTATCTGGCTGTGAACGTGGAAGCAGTGAATTCATGGAGTCCTCTGAAGCCTGTTTCATGGTTCCTGGTTTCCAGCACTGTGACTGTCTGCTGGTTTACAGTCTGTGTGGCAGGGCCAGGGTGATGTAGATGCACTGAATAACTGTTCCTCCTGCCTAGCCTTCCTTTGCCCTAGCCTCTGGGTCAAAAGGGAACTTCTGAGATCTGAAGTGTTGGCACAGCCACTGTCACATCGGTGCTAGGGATCAAAGTAGCTGAGAGTTTGGGGCCAAACAAGTCACCACCACACAGTAGGAATTGTTCTGTGTTAGCTCTTTTTTCAGGTGCATTTCTTCAAAAACAGGACTGTGCAAAGCAAGGCAGACTAAGATGTCTCATAGTTATTGCTTTAAAAAGCCTCTTGTTGTCCAGCAGTGTTCTGGCAGAGGCAGGAGAATATTTTCTGAGCGTGGCTTGGGAGTGTTGTACTCTCTGCCTCAGTCAGTGCAAACTCTACTCCTCATTTACTCTGCTAAAGGGAGATTTTTCCATCCCCTGTTCTGCTGCTGGACCTCTTTCTGCAGAGCAGAGCTGTCCTATTTCATGAGATTATTTTCAAGTATTGCAATGTTTCTTGAAAATCTTGCTGTTTCAAAATGCAGTCCACAGATGTCATCCAAGAGTTCTCTTTTTCTCTTTCATGGACTTCAGAGGATTTTGAATTGAGACTTCAAACTATTTCTGCTTAATAGTATGCAGCCTGAGGTACTACATAATTTCCTGGGGCCTTTTTGTTTGAGTACTTCCTTACTCAAGTAAGGATACAAGCCAGTGGTGGTATCACATGGGGTAGGACTTCATTTTCCTGGAGCATACACCTCTTTTATTACAGGATCTGCTAATGGGAGAAAAAAATGTCACTCAAAACCAATAACCAAAACCCTGAGAAAGAGCTTTGGGGTCTGTCTGGTTCCACAGAAAGGAGTTAACCTCTGGGTATTCCTCAGATTTGCACATACCTGTACAGGTGGCCAGGTAGAGGCCCACAGCTGACTGAGTTCACAGCAAAGTGGGTGCATTTGAGCTGCATCTTAGAAATTTTTATAGCCATACAGCAACTAGTAGACTTGGAAAATCCTGATGATCATTTGGCCAGTGGTGTTCTTTATTGCTCCCCACATACTTTACTTGAATATTGGTTTGTTGTCTTTTTTTGTCCCCTGAAACATGTTGCTTTTTGCCACTAACCAAACTAACTTAAAGCAAAAGCAAAATGTTAGTGTTTGTATTCAAACTTTGTAAGTATTGAAACTTGCATGCACGGATGGTCTGGGATCTTTTCATGCATTTTAGCAGTGCATGTATGAAAGAAGCATCTTCAGTTTTCATTGTTTCATGCTTGTTGTACCTTCTATCAAAAATTTGGGTTGCTGGAAAAGGACAAAATTGGTTCCCTTGTGCTTTTGAAAGGTGGGTGATACGGGTTGCTGGGAGATGGGAGGGGAGAAGGGTGTCTGAATGCTGCAAGGTGAATCTCAGCCCTGCTGTTCTGGTATAAAAATTGATCAGGAAAGTCTGAAGCCTCTGGTGAGCCACCACTGCCCTTAAGAGTGTGTGAAATATGAACAGAGCAGTGGCAGCTGCTGGGGCATTTGGGAGCAGGGGGGGGTTTAAGTGTTCTGCAAGAGAGATGCAGGGCAAAGGAATGCTGGGTGATGTGACTTGTTAATTTGTAAGGCTCTCATCACTGGGATCCTGGAAAGTTTTCTGAGGAAACCACTAGCCTTTATCCTTGTGCTGGGAGCTTTCTTTTCTAATTTCAGTTCTCTCCAATCATGCTGATGTCCAAATCTTAAAAGAACCCAAACGGCCATTGACTGAGACATCTTTCTCCATGCAGATGGGTATTATTCCTGATAATTAAACCAAAAGTTCAAAAACAAGCCAAAAGAGCTTGTCCTACAGAGCTCTGCATGCAGTGCACTGGACTGTTGGGTGGGTAGGGGCTGCTCCTGGCCAGTGGGAGTGGAAAGCAGTGGTCAGAGGGCTCCCTGGGCTTCCTTTTCTGCAGATCTCAAAGCAGGGTGGGTTGACAGGGGGCAGTGCTGGTCTGTAGCTGCTTTGTACAGTCAGGACACTCAGGGACTCAGCACCTCAGTGACTAAACGTTGCACTGAGCAGAGTCTCTGAGGATTTGGTACAAATGCTGTAATTTATGCTATTGATGGAGATGCATTTGGGAACCTTTGTGTCTTTTTTTGCATCTGTTGGTAAGCTGTGAATCGAAACGTTTCATCCAGACGGAGCTGAGAAGTTCTTTTCAAACTCTGTTTGTTTCAAAGCAGCATGTAACCTTTCTTCCTTTTAGAATTAGAAGAATCTCCCTTAACTGTGAAGAGTGACATGGCTACTATTGTCAAGGTGATGCAGCTGCCAGACTCAGGCCTTGAAATTCGGGACAGGATGTGGTTAAAAATTACCATCTCCAATGCAGTGATAGGTAAGCAGCTCAAAGGAAGCTGGTGGGGAAAAAAAATCAACTAGTGATTTTTTGGAAATAGGTTGCAGAAACTATCTTTATGTGAAATTATCCTTTTTTCCCTGTTTATGACCTCTTGGGTTCCCTTGACTTGGTATTTGTGAACAACTGTGTGACAGGAAATAACTAATAGCTCATGTTTGAGCCTGGACAGCCCAAAATACTGCACACAGCTGAGCCTTAACCCTTACTTGTTTTCTCAAGTTTTCTGTGTAGCAGCTTGCAGCTCTAACAATCTGCCCAAGTTCAACAGAGTCCAGTTCCAGCCAGCCAGGCAACCTTAATAAAGCATCTTAATTATATTTAAAATTACCACAACTAGTCTACCTTTGATCCTGACTGTCCTGTGACCCAAACTGTGCTAATATTTATTCAGCCTAGGTTGTAGTTACTATTTGCTGAGAGAGGGATTGGAAAACAGCCCTTTTGACAACATGACATTGAGGAAGATGACTCCCAGTCACTTCTGCTCTGCCAATCCTGTGGAGTTTTCATTACTGCAGCTCAGAAAGAGTTGAGCAGTGTAACTGTAAAATATTCTGTGTGCATATTTGGTCTCACTGTTAATGTAGTGTTCAGCTGCAAGCAAGGATCATTCTTTGCTTTCTTTTTTGATGTTTGGTAGTAAATAATTTAGCAGTTAGGCTGAGTCATGAAAATAACATTTTAAGCTCTTTGCAGCAAGATTGCTACATATTGGTATTCGTGTTCAGTACTCAGCACAGCAGCACTAGAGGGCTCTGTGATAATGTGAAGATTAAAAAAAAAAAACTTAAAAAAGATTGATTTGGGTCACATGATCCCATGTCTGCTCTTCCTATCCTCATTCCAGGAGCAGATGTGGTTGACTGGCTTTACACACACGTGGAAGGCTTCAAAGACCGACGGGAGGCTCGGAAGTACGCCAGCAGCATGTTGAAACATGGCTACCTCAGGCACACTGTGAACAAAATCACCTTCTCAGAGCAGTGCTACTACGTCTTTGGAGACCTCTGCGGCAGTAAGTTCCTGCCTGAGAGGGGCAGAGCTGCCTGTGTGCTGTCTCCTGTGCCCTGGTCTCCTCCAGGGCAAGTGGGTGTTCAGAGCAGACCATTATTCTGAAGTTGGGTGACAATTCCTCTTAGACCAAGCAATTAGACCACTTGGAAGAGAAGAGTGAACTCCCCAGACAGGGCACTGCACTGGGGGTTGATTTCTGGTGGTGCTGCAGACCTCCTGCTCAGCAGGCAGACTGGGTTCCCTCTCTGTAAAGTGGGGTGGTTCCTCTTTGAACCTGCAGAGGTACCTCGGTGCTCAGTGCTGCACACTGACATCTGTCTCTGTGTGTGATGTTTGGAAGGAACTCTGGAGCCTGAGTCCCTCGGGGCCCCCACCACTGGTTGTTACCAGTGTGCTGGGTAAGAGCCCTGTCCTCAGCTTGTCTCTCCTTTTCAGATATGGCTGCACTGAACCTTAACAATGGTTCCAGCGGAGCCTCGGATCAGGACACCCTTGCTCCACTTCCACACCCTGCTGCTCCCTGGCCATTAGGCCAAGGATACCCCTACCAGTATCCTCTGCCCCCTCCGTGTTTTCCACCAGCATACCAAGACCCAGGCTTCAGCTATGGCAGTGGCAGTGCAGGGAGCCAGCAAAGTGAAGGTGAGATGGTTACTCTGGTGTTTGTTTCTACAGCTGTCATTACCCCTCACCATTTGCTTGACTTCCTTCGTCCTGTCTGTGCTCCTGTCTTGTGGTTTCTTGTGCTACCTGCATGGGTTTGGTGACTGCACTGAACCAGGACTGTGCCTGTGGTGGAGTGGGGAGCCTTTCAGCTCTGTACTGATGCCAGTGGGGCTTTAACTGAGTCAGTGGACTAGCACAGAACAGGTCCATGCTGTTTGTAGCTCTGCTGCAGCTCTGTGCCCCGTGCAAAATGCCAGTGGGGAGTCAGAGCCCAGCTGTTTGTTGTGTCTGTGGTGTTGTTCTGAATCTGTATTTTCATACCAACAGCACCATGTGGTAAATTACTGCTCAGATAATGCTGATTGGGCCAACGTTAATGACTCATTGTCCACCCTGTGAAAACAGGTCAACTATTGCCCCTCTTTTGGGAGGCTGGAGCCTTTGCCAACAGTGGGGCTGCAGCTGGTTGGTATGGCTGGAAATCAGGACGTTTTGTTGCTGATGGAACAGGGGTTAGAACCAAGGTGCTTTTGGCTTTCACTTCAATGCTGAGTAGAAAAGGAAAATGATTCTTTTTGCTTGTGAGGTGCCAGGCAGATGGTTTACAGGGCTGAAACACTGCTCACGGGGAGGAGAGTCCCTTTTGCAATGTATGACAGGGAAAAACAAAGATACTGCATGGATTAAAAACCTGACCTCCTCCTTTCCTGCCCTAGGATAATTTTGTGGTTCATTTTTAAACTTTAGTAAATAAAAAGTATGTACTCTTGGGCCATACAGATTGATTTTTTTTTTTTTTTTAAACCACTTCCAGAGTGAGTTTTGCTTTTGGAAGTGCTGCCAGTAAGGAAGGGGGGAGGATTCTCTGTATTTTTGTGGTGAACATCGAGTAATTTCAATATAACTTTTTCCTGCTCACTGCAGCCAGTTAGGTTTTGCAAAATTGCACAAAAAAATTTCATAACAGGAACTGGCTCACAGGATTTTAGCACTATTGCTTTCCACCTTATCTCCAAATCAGAAGAGTCTGTGAGGAAGCTCACCATGACATCCAGAGGTTTTAGAACTGCAAGCTGATTGTGCTGGAAAGAATGTGATTGTTTTTTTTGGCAGCAGGTGCTGTGAGCAGTGGAATGTTAGACCTCTGCTGCTGGAATAGGAGAGGTTTGGTATTTTATCCATGCGACTTGTGTTACTGGCTCAAGAGAGCCTTATGAAAGGCACCAAGGTGTTTAATTTTGAAAGGTTTCAACACCTTCCATGTTCTTCTTTTGGAAACTACACGTCTGTGTTGTTTCTTGTTTTGTAACTGTTATTCCCTTGTTTTGTTCTGAGCAAGCATTAGACTGAAGGATTCATAGAGGAATGGCTGACTCTAGGGGATTGGTAAGCTTCAAATGCCTCCATAATATTAATGATTCACAGCATGATCATTTAGATTCTTGTGACCCAAATGTTTAGCTGTATTTTTCCTTTTTTTTTTTCCTTTTTTTTTCCCCTTATTGTCTTGGATGCTCCACCCGTCTCAATGCACAGCAGCGTGTCAGGCCTCAGCTGTAGGCTGGGCTGCATGTCCCTGAGACAGGCCAGGCCTTAGCTGCCAAGAAGATGACACTCTTGTTAGATTGCACTTAAGCTCAAGTTTTAAAAGGACTTTCTGATTGTTCTGTGACAGGGTTTAAAGGCAAGTCAGGGAGAGAGTGAACCTCAGCACGACCAGAGGAGACTGGCTGTGCTGCTGCTTACTCTTAGATAGACTGCTGCTGGTGGATGATTTCTCCTTTTTCCTTCTGCCATGTAATCAGCATGTGCAGCTGCAGAAAACCTGGTCCTTTTGAGATAAGGAGTCTGCATTAACCACTCCTGGGAGTCTTGGCAGATCATCTAGAGCTGCTACTCCAGATACACCAGTCTGGAGTAGCAATGTGGTGGATTGCCACCAGGCAGTCTCAGTCCTACTGGCAGTGGAAGACCTCTCCAGATCAGTAATATACACTTCCAGTGCAGCTTGCTTTCTCCCCTGCATGATCTTTACTCCACATGCTGTGGAACTGGCAATGAATTCTTGTGTATGGGGAGCCTTGCATCAATACATCTTCAGATAAGGTTTGGATGTGTGGCAACAGAATGGATCATGAGGTAAAGGCAGAGGCATATGTGCTGTGGAAGGGTTAAAATAAAACGTCAGTTTTAATCCACTGTGAAGTATGTGCCACACTGGAGAGCTTACAGAGATGCTTCTTGGAGATAATCTTTGTTGTTCTCTTGTTTGTTTTTACAAGATTAAAACATTTGAAGTGACAGCTCAGGGAGCACCTTACCTCTTCAACAAGCTCACCTTAGTGAATCTTGTTAGCATTTGGTGGAGGCAGCTGAACCCAAGTTAACATCTCAATTTACAGATGGAAGGAAACGGGCACAGAGCAGGACAGTGTTTTTCCTAGAGCAGAGAAAAGCTGGCATGAACTTAATAACATACTCTGTGGGTTGGTTTGTTTTTTTTTTAAGAATATTAACTTGGAAATGTTTCCTGACATCATCCTAGCCTGTCTCTCATGGTTACAACACACCATGACCTTCAATTTTCATGTAAAATCAGTTAAGATGTTCAGTGAAAGTTGTAGGTAGCAACAACTCAGCTTCCACACCAGCAGCAGTGCTTTGTTTTTCTGAGTTGGTTTAGTGGCCTTTGCTGGGAACAGCCTACATGTTGCTCCATGTGTTCATCAGAGAGCAGCTCAACAAATAACTGTTTTTTGAAGAATTCTCCAACAACAGAACAGAATTTTAAAAGAATCTACCCACTGAAGCCAGCAAAAGGACATCTGTTAGCCTCAGGTGATGTGGTGCTGGGTGTATGGCCAGTGTGACCAAGGAGGATAGAGAAGGCAAATAAGGGGTGTTTTAAAAAGGTTTTAACCTTTTAAGGTTGGAAGATAGCAAAGACAGGGACAGTTACAACTAGCTTGAGGCTCGTTTGCTGGAGTCAAGCCCCAAATGCCTGCTTCTCCCTTCTGGTTTTGCCCCTCCTCTCTCTCCAGCCATCTGTGGGGTGGCAGCTCCCAGCCAGTCGTTCTGGGCTAGCTGCTGCTTTCGCTGTGCGAGCTCTGAGGTGTCTACGTGTCCCTGTGCATGGCACCACCCCGGCAGCTCTGTTCTAGCGGTTCTCATCGCTCACCCCCATAAGCCACCCACAGCACGTCCGGGGCCGTGTCGCCGTCGGCCGGCGGGGCCTGGGCCGGGCCTGGGCGGGGCCTGGGC